ATAGATGCTTGGGGGTTAAGAGGAACAACAAGAGGTCACTTAATCCATCTCTTTATCTTCAAAGAGAATGACTTGTTCTATACCCGCCAGACAAGAGTCATCCTCCGCCTCCTGACTGTCATCCAAAAAAACTTTTAAAGTGTCGATCTGTACATGGAACTGTATTTCGCATTCTATAGGCCTTAAAAGATTTAATACGATAACAATGCAGAGACAAACCACACATAACCAAAATTCAAAGTACTGCATGTACAAATAGCTTAAAAAGAATGGGTAAAGAAGATGTGGTGGGCTGGCCGAGTGGCGCGATGGGTAAGAACTGGCTTGGGATGCCAGAGGACCCCGGTTCGGATCCCACATATAAGGGCCAGTGACACTGCCCTCTACAACTAAGATGCTGAACAACAGCTCAACCTGGAGCTGGGCTGCCATGAATTGCCGGCAGCGGTGTAGGCTGCAGCCCCTGTGGCAGTGGGTTGCCATGGGCTACCGTGTGTAGCCAGCAGCCAGCGTGAGCGACCATCCAGAAGCTGGTGACTGATGTGCCTCACCCGGGAAGAGCGCAATGATGGTGCCAACATGGGCCAGTGAAGCAACGTCCTCCACAACTAGACTGAAGAACAACAACAAAAAAAAACGACAGCAACGTGTCTGTTCCCCTTCCCCCAATTCCCCAATAAAAGTCTTAAAAAAAAAAAAGATGTGGTACGTATATACATTGGAATATTATTCACCCATGAGAACAGAGGACATCCTGCCATTTGAGAGAACATAAATTCACCTCTGGATATTATGCTAAGTGAAATAAGGCAGACAAAGAAAGATAAATACCATACAATATTACATATACGTGGAATCTAAAAAAGACAAACTCACAGGAACAGAGACTAGAATGGTGGTTAGCAGGGGCTAGGGGTGGGGAGAATGGGGAGAAGTTGGTCAAAGGGTACAAACTTCCAGTTATACGATGAATGAGTCCTGAGGATCTAATGTACAGCATGGGGATTATAGCTAATAATATTGTATTAGGTACTTGAAAATTGCTAAGAGAGTGCACCTTAAATGTTCTCACCCCAAAAAAGAAATGGTAATTACTTGACATGATGGAGGTATTAGCTAAGGATATGGGGATAATCATTTTAACTATATCAAATCAACAGGTAAACCTTAAACTTATATGTCAACTACATCTCAATAAAGCTAGAAAAAATGCTACATATAAAATGACATTTTTTTTCTTCCAATGTATCTACATAAACATTTTTAAGCCATATAGATAATATAGACAGAGATAAACATAACTATGCAAGACGATGCATGTATACAAGTAAAAGAAAAGATTTAGGGAAACACGACAGCTCTCAGATATTTGAAGGGCTGCTGTGCAGAAGAAAGGTTAGATTTGAACTAGGAACACGGGTGAAAGAGATGGAAGTTTCAGGGAGGCATGTGCCAGTTATGTTCAGGAAGAGCTTTTTAACAATTAGAACATTTCAAATAAATGGGCTTCCTTGTTGGTGTTATTAGAGAGGGAATTCCAGGAAATTAGCCTAGATGGCCTCGAAAGTTCTTTTCATCCCTATGACTGAGCCATGTGTCAAACTTAAACACATTTGGGGGCGGTAGAGGAAGGTAATGGAATTTATAGGCAAAGAGTTGTTACCAGCAGTGCTTGTTTTAGGTATGGACTGAATAGAGTTCAGGGAAACTGTTACGTTTCTATGGATAAGTCTGAGATTTTCTTATGAAGAGATAGGATCTGAGTAGAATCCTAAATATTGTAAGGGGAGTCACTTGGGAGCCATATTGGGGAGAATATAATTATTGCAAAAGTCATAGCTAAAAAGAAGACATCCCAGAAAAGGCTAATTGGATAAAACATATCACCTGTCGTAGGAGGGGTGGGGGTTTGAGGAACAAGAGGTGAACATTAGGCAATTATAATCCAGGGTATCCTGGAAAATAATCCTGAAACATTAGGTGAACAACTCAGACGTTATACATAGTGAAGGGGAGGAGAGCACGGTCAAAGCAATGAGAGGAAGAAATAGTTTTGTTTTAGTGAACTGCGTGGTGCTAAAGTTTTGGAACCTAGGAAGAAAAGGCTAATAGCAGGAGACGCCAGCAGAGAGAGGACATGAGTCTAAAGAGAACACCATGTCCCTACCGCTGTAGAGAAAGAAATAGATATGGGAGATAATGTAAGAATGTGGCGATAGCCAGGAAATGCAGGCTGGTAGAGATAGGGATCAGTGAAGCTTGGCTCACGAACTCCTTGCTTCTGGAAGTAGTGGTATTGCTCCTGGGGAAAATAAAGATGTGTCTTCAGTGTGCCTTGCTGGTGTTGGTGATGTGTCTGATTTCCATGCCAGTCCCTCGTCAAGACTCAGGTGAGGCTGTCCCTGTGCTACTGTGCACCATCCCTGGTGCTTTTTTTCACCTGGTTTCTGCCCCTGCTGGGAGCTCACAGCTAGCTGCCTTCAATTCACTTTAGATGATACTATTTGGGATTGTTTTACATGTGTAAATATATTCTCAGGCAAGTCCTATTTGGTTTGGTTCTACTAACATGAAATCCTTTTCCACACCTAATTAACTAGGTTTCTCCCTAGCCTGTCACTGCCCTCCCGCATTCTGCAAGTTCCCGTTTTACTTGTACTTTGAAAATGAAAGAATGGAAAACATCTACAAGACAATGCATGTATCCTAAGTCTCCACTTACAGAATATTTGCTTTAGCCTAGATAGGATCTTAAGAATCAATGGTGGAGGACTCCTCATATGCAAAATAAAGGTCTTATGCAATCCGTTCAGGTGAGTAGATAGCTGGTGATGACTAGGTAGGAATGACTAATAAGGTGATATATGATTTCTACATGTGTTTGTTGGTTGATTGGTGTTTTCATTTTTAGTTAAATGCAAGGTGGTAGGAAATGGTGGTGGTGGTGGTGGTGGTTGGGGGCTCACCTGAATAAATACTGTAGGATTTGTTCCATGATCTAAGTATAATATACACCACTTGAAGAAATTAGGCTTGGAAAAGCTGAATTAGACTTCTGAAAACATGACCTTTTTTTTTTGTACTAATAGTAAGTGCTTGCATGACACTTATATGCCAAATACTGTTTTAAGTTATATATATATATATATATATATATATATATATATATATATATATATACCAATTTAATTCTCACAACAGCCCTATAAAGGTAGGTACTATTGTTATTATCATCACTTCACAGATGAGGAACTGATGCACAAAAAAGTTAAGTATTTGCCCAAGAGCAAATAGCTAGTATCAGAGACCACTTTTGAACTCAAGCAGTCTGGCTTCAGTATGCCTGCCCCTAACCACTGCGCTATACTATACTCATCTATTATATACCATGCATGAATTAGCAGAGAAGCCAGGCTGTTATCCCCAAACTGAGATTCTCTCAGATAATAAAAATCAAACAACAAACCAAATTCTGCCTCTATGACCACCACCTTTATCCCTCGTGAATGATTTTTTCCCCCCAGTAGTTGCAAACACGTTGGGAATTGAAAGGAAAAAAGAGAATTTTAAACATAGGAAAACTTTGATCCAATTGGAAAATTCGTATTCTATCTAGTGCTAAAGCACAGTGTTTCTGTTCTCATTTTGGGAGTCGATTTCAGTTATGTCTGGCCACACGCTGGATAGCAATGGAATAATTTCATAGTGCTCTTATAGGAGTGAGTATCAATGTCAGTGGATGGCTCACCTAAGGTCAGTCTGGTGCTATGAAAGACATGTAAAGGAAAGCTGCACCCACCTTTCCCCCCTAAACCTATCTTCCCAGTGGTGGTTTTGCTGCTGCTTTGCAATGGCGCCCATCCTCTCCCCTTTCATCTTTAGCAAATTTTCAGTGTGGTACCTCCAATAACGGAGGCTTCTTACAAAGGAAATAGACAAGCCAAAGGAACAGCAGGAGGATATTATCAAACTCCCTAAGAATTTAAAAAACTGGACCAATATTCGGACGCAAGAATGTGTAGTGGGGGGATAAGTAAATATTTGTACATATATGTGTGTGTGTGCATGTATAAAAAAAACACTGTTCTGCTTGAGTTATTCTCTTTAGACCCATTGTTAAAGATGAGTAAGTTCTGACTCAGAAACAGGGTCCAAGATAGATTTCCCCCCTCCTTTGTCATCAGAAGAAGACCTGACCACTGCACCGTATATAAAGCATGCCAGTAGGAAGATTAGCTTTACTGTCAAGCATTGTAAGGGTAACAGAAACACACATGTGATTAGATGGTAAAAAGAGTTCACGAGGAATTCATGGTAATATAATATGAGGAACGGGGCCACAACTGCTTCTCCGGTGAGCCTGTAGAGTGCAGACAACCGAGGCCAGTGCAATTTAACATCATGAAAGAACTCCAAAAAACCACACTGAAACAATAATGTACCCCTTTCCGATTTTCATGTGCATTTTGTATAATTTTGACTCTAGGCCTGCTGCTGACAAAGGTGTTTAAAAGGGATTCTCCCGGGCATGTTAGGGATCCTCATCTGGATGGCAAGCACCATGCCTTGTCCTTTTCCGTCCCAGCGGTGCCTCCTAATGAGCTGTGCACCTGGAGCGCCTGGCTGGACTGATTGATTTGACAGGTGGAGGTGGGACAGGGAAGGCTTTAGACCCACCAACCGCAAAAGGCGGTAGCGTGTGGAGCCGAACGTAGGAGGGGTGGGCTAAGGCGGATTCAAACGTCGGAGGCCGAGGTGCCGGGAAGGGGCAGAGGGGCCGAAAGACCTGACGCAGCGGTGGACGTGCCAACGAGGTGGGCACTGGGGGAACCACCCGGCGTGGAGGCGGGGGCGGCGCGCG